TTGCCTAACAAGTGAAATGTTAGGCTCCATCACGGTACGAATATGGGAATTTCGGATTGTGACACTTATAAAAAAAAATATTACACTTGAAATTTTTAATTGAAAATGATTAAGACATGTAGTGTAGCAAATGATTAGTGTTCAAAAAGTTAGTGGCTTTTTTTCGAGTAACCTTATGCAGCTTAACTTCAATCCCTACAAAAGGTTATGAACTACTATAAGTCATAATCAAGTTGAGTATGTGTTGATTTTAGAATCTTTAAAAAGTTTTACACTTATCCGATAAAATAAACCTTTTATTCATTCAAAAATATGATTAAAATAGTAGAATAAATAAATAACATAAAAACAGAAAAGAGATTTTATCTTAATGAATTAAGGTAAAATCCTAAATTACAAACTTATAAAATAGCTAGCATAAGATACGAAAGGAATCAAGGATGATCAATTATAATATAGCAGACGCTTTTAAACTAATTGAATTGAAAATTCAAATGCGCCCCATGTTCTCTATTAATTTTTTTTTAAAAAAATATATTAGTTGGGTGTTTTGCTAAAAAATTAATAAAAAATTTCTACGTTGATAAATTATTTTCTAAGTTAGTTTTCAAATTTTAGTTAGATAACAAAACTATTCTACCTTTACTAATTATTTGAAATATTGTGATATTACAATATGTGTATACATAATATATTATTCAATTTAAACATTATGAATTTTGAAACACTTTGTTTTTTCAAGTGGAGATAAGAACATTTCAGGTGGTTGTAGTTGCAAATAGACACATCGTTTGAAAATAATATTTAAAGTTATTGAAACTTTATAAAAAAAAAAGCTACGAGTAATATATCTTTTATTTCAATAAGATTCATATGCTTTATGTGATTGCATCCAAATAGTGAGTGATTTTAGAGACATAATATTAATTAAATTTGTAAGTCCAAACAAGGAAATTGAATCATCGAAATTCGTGTGAACTTGAAATATGAGAAATTAAAAGTTAAAGTTGGTGATGTTTTGTATTCAGCCAATTTTTCAAACGTAAAAAGAGGGAAAGTTTAATATTTTGGATAATTTTTGTTTATAGTCAAATAAGATTAAAATATTAAATATTTTTATAGGTGTATAATAGTCAATCGATTTAAGAAGACAAAAATAGATCGGAACAAACGATATTCTTATAGAGACATTTGAACGTACAAAATACAAAGACTTATATAACATAAAAACAAGTGAAGAAAAGATCATACGTCATGTAACTACTTCCATATATTAATATTTTGAACATAAATTAAAATACAAAACTTATTAATAACCATTAAATTGGACAAAATGTATAAACATATAGAAAAAAAGACACTGCAAAAATAAATCTCGTATCATATAATATAATTATTGGGCCATCTATACTTACTAGTTACCTTAGCCCGTGCTGAGCCCGGGTCCAATTCCAAAAATTAAAGCTTGCAAGAGTATTTTCTTACTTTGAACTTCTATTTGACTTTTAAAAATATATATTTCTATAAGTTCTTGAAGTCCAAGTGAGTCTTAGCATGTTAATCTTGTTTGACCTGTCAATTTTTTTTTGTTTTCTTATTTTTATTTTAGGGAATTTAGCAAGTAAAATATTAGATTCAACTTTTAATTTGGTAATTGATTCTACTAATGAAAGAATTCTTATGCACATTATAAAATGAGATATTTATAGTGTGATGTCGTAAAGATTAGCTGATTAGACAATTTGATATTAAAAAGGCGATAACTACGTTTTGTAAAATTACTATACACATCGAAAATCAGAATAATATTTTTCATATAATGAGGTGACATAGGTACAAACAAAAAAGTAGGTATATAAAAATTTTAATGCACTGCATTCGACAAACCTCTAAATCTAAGTTTTAAATAATGAAGCTCTAGAATGCAATCATTTTCAAGGCTGAATGGGAAAATTGGCTTATTGTGATGGACACTTATGTTGGTTATTGCACATTCACACACGTTAACAAAATAGCAAATCTAATAGGGCCAGGGGAAGAGTTGGCTTTCATTAAAAGAATTACATTTTGTTGTTACTGGTATTCCACAGGCGCCTTAATTATCTTCTGTTCTTCTTATTGAACTATCTTTTCCAAATGGTTTACATCATTATGGATTACGTTTTTCCTGTCTTCCCTTGGATGGACTGCTTGGTCAGTAAAGTAACTGACATTTAGCTATGTTGGGATTTTAAGCTTGTGTAACTTAAATAGGGTGAATGAGAAATGGAGGAAAAATGAAATATTTGAGTTTCCTTTGGGAAAGGGACATTGTCCCATATCGGAGGAAGAAAAGACTTTTGATGGGTATATATACAATTGCTCTTCTTCTAGCTCTTAAAGAGTTAAGAAAAAGGCAAGCCTCGCGCCGTCGTCGCTCGGCCGAGCTCGGCTACGGATTTGGATTGATTGATTAATCTTTTTGGACAAAATTTCTTTCAATTATTTAATTAATTAATTAAATAATTAACGAAAAATTCAATCCGGAATAACCCATGACCCGCGACCCGGTTCGGTCAGGCCCGTTTTCTTTCCCGGATAATTTTAAATATATTTTTTCCGCAATATTTCAAACACCCCTTTTCAACAGCCATGGCTGTTTCTGAAAGGTTGCAAACCTTTTCAGAAACATTGCCATCAACTCTATAAATAGAGTTTGAATCTCAAAATCTTTCCTTACGAAAGTTTCTGAGCTTCTTCTTCTTCTTCTGCACAATATTTTCCAGTGTGTTTTACGACTATTGAGTGGTTCGCAGTTCATTAGAGTTTTGGTACCTATACACTGGTGAGTTAAATCGTTCTATCCTGGGAGGATATATTCCAGCACCTCGGGTACTTGAGGGGAATAATTTCCTTAAGGACACACTGTGTATTCAGTGGGCTCGATTTATTCCTATATTGTTTTTTTGTTTTCCAGAATCTATTTCGTTAAACAAGTATTACTAACTTTCTGTTTTATTTTTTCAGAAAATTTAATTGTTTACTATAGCAATATAGAATAATAACAGGCTATATACATGACCAATTTAGTCATTAGTGAAACCGAAGTCAATGAAGGTACTACCGTAGAGAAATTGAAATCTTTGCTTCACATGAAAGGGAGAATTAACTAAAGAATGAGACTTCTAAGAGGAAGAACAACTTGCTCTGTTCCCTGCCAATTCGTGACAAATTTAGCATTATGCTACGAAGGGATTAAGCTAATCCACTTGAACTTACTTAGGAATCTTGAAATGAATTAATTCTATAAAGATATAGCTTCAAGAAATACTTGTTGCCCTTTGTCCTAATTTCAGGAAGCTTTCAATGTAACACATTGGCTTTGCTTATTACAGGACAAATAGTAGGCCTATCTTGCTTGACTACAATGGTCCTAAGATGCATGAGGATGAGGTTCATTTTCTTGTTGATTTTGATGTGATTAGAAAACTTGGTGCTTACTGAAACTTCTTTTTGTCAAATCGATTCTTGCTTAACCCATACCTCTAAGTAAAATACTATTTATGGTACGATGGAAATCTAAGTTTTTCTGCTGATAAAATATAAGTGTGACATATTCTTGCTGCTTGTCAGGAATTTCACTTTTGTCCTAATGTTGGAATGTACTGTTTTTATTTACTAGAGTTTCTTAGATGTGCTAAGGATAGTAAAATAACCTCCTTATTATGTAAAAGTTCTCAAATAAGTTAAACTTGTTATAGTGCTATCTAGAATTTTGTTAGACAACTCAGAGGTATGAATGTCAAAAGCATGTGAATTTTTTCTTGGCAAAATAGCCTCTGACCATCTAAACTTGTACCCAATTGTCAACCCGGTAAATGAACTTAGAAGTTTCCTATTTTAATACTTTTACTTGACAGAATGAGTACTAATAAATGCCCTAGCTAAGCGTGTTCCTCAATCGCTATGACACAGTTGACACGTCATATTCTTAACCTATTATTGTTTGACAAGTGTAATTTACAGGTCCCAGTCATGTTTTACCAATTTATTAAAATTTTTAAAAAAATCTTTCTCTTCTTCTATACCATGACAGCCCCACCATCACCATATGCTTCATCCACTATAGACATCATCCTCATCTACTCTAAAACCCCCTCAAATCAACTATGAACTCCATCTTTCTTCATTCTAAAACTTCCAAATCAATTAAAAAAAATACCAATTTCTTAATATTTTAACTTTTTTTCTTTCTATTCGTATTCGCTATACCTGCTAGGATCTTGGGGGCGAAACAAATTGGGGAGTTGCATAAGATATATGGCAATTCCGATAGAATTCAACTCTCAAAACCTCCAACATCCAAATCTGCAAGTGAGAGAAGCACAATCAATTCGCCCCGAAAAAATCCACAAGTGACCTCATCAAAACCATCTTTGATAATCATCACTTTTTTATCTTTAACTGCTAAGACCAATCAAAATCACAATCCCTGAAAAATCAAAAAGTTGCACAAAATTTTCATTATAAGAAAAAAAAATTAATCGTGAAAAGGAAAAGGAGGAGAAATTAAAGGGGAATTAGGGGAGGTGGAGGGACCGACGTTAATGGGGAAAAGAAAAAGGGGAAGAAAGACGGGGGATTAGCGAAGGTGTAAGGAAAGCAAGTGACTGATTTTACATTTCCTTTGTTTCTTTATTGTTTATAGTTTTAATTTTTTTCTTAAAATGAATACTAGCATAGTTACGCGCCTTACAAGCATGATTTGCATGTATCTCTGCTGCATCAACTATGTCATCACCACGTAAGTATGGTCAATGGTCAAAGTAGTTTATTAATGTAAAAATGATTAAGTTGAAGTGTTCAAATAAAAAAAATTTAAGTTCATTTACCGATAATTGGATGCAAGTGTAAGTGGCTCGGAGGCCATTTTGACTTTTTTTTTTTTCTTTCACCATATGATGTTAGAGACATAAAAATTGTAAAGCACCAAAAAAATTTCTTAGTGTTTCTGTTATCTTTGACATGTAAAATGGGTCACCGGCTTAGATGATACTTTGTGCAGCTTTTTACTTCCTTTTTTTACGGTTATAACACATAGAAGTTCCATTTTTCCCGCCTATTGGAGCTCCTCCGAAGCCTTTTGATTATCATTTGGTTATTATTCAAGCCAGTATTGGTGGTTTGGTGTTGCTCCTTGTGTTAATTGCAAAAGCAAGACATACAAATTAAAGTCCATGTTTAGCTGAATATTATACAAGGGCTACTTTGGTCTTCTCCAAAATTTTACTGAAAGCTAGAGCAACTTGACCGGTGGTGGCAATATAAGAACTCCCCGGTACATACATACCAGCAATTAATCTGCCTTCCGCCTGCTTCTGTTCATCTTCTTTCTTTCTCCACTTCATCTTCAGATTTCTTTTTATGTTAAGTTTACCGATTTTGCTGCTACTTCCGACATCACCGATTATTGAAGGTCTTTGTGCAGGTAAGTTGGTGCATTGATTTGAACGGTATTTCTTGATCTTCCCCCCACTCTGTTTTTTTCATGCGTTGCTTCTGGGTTTAATAAGTCTAAGGAATCACCAATTGTTTGCTAGATCTCAATTTTTTAATCTTTGGCAGCTTTTCTTTCAGTTTGCTTGCTATGTGTTTGTGAAATTGCCTTCTAAAAGTTCATCTTCCCATGTCACAATGCCAAGCTGAATCAAGATTCTCACTTATCATATAAAATGTCAAAACTGAACCTCCCATGAGCACACATTTGAATGTATCAGTTGGAACGATAGTCATTCCACGCAAATATATGGCTGAGTACTTGAACTGTGGTTAAGATGGTATTAAATAAGAAGTGACTGAAGTAGAAGAAATTTAAGCTATCTTTGACTAATAGTGCCATTATTCTGTCACAACAAGTTTTCAACTTGGCCAAACAGCAAGAAGATAGTAATGCTAACTCCACTTCACTCCTAGAAAAGAAATGCATTAGAGAATGAAATAAGAGTCAAATTAAACATAAATGAGAAAGTGGAACCGAAACAAAGAGATTGTCTGTATTGCTTTTTCATCTGAAACAGAATTGAGAGCATTTTATGACTCTTTGTTCATCGATTATGCTTTGTCGATGCTTCTCACAACATCGACATCCGCATCTTTGCTATTTACTGAAAAGAATTTCCATTAAATTATGCTTTATAATATTGAAAGATGAATTTACATTCTCTGTAAGTGCAGGTATATCAACTAACCATTCTTTCAGCTGGTTTGATCAAAAGTTGCGCTACCAATTATATCCTCTGGCTTTACAACATCGCAAAGCCCTTGGGTTCTGCAAATACTACAAGCATTTTTCTGAAGTCATCCAATGCTACCTGCCCTCACTTGATCAAGAAAAATATAGAACTTTCTTACTCAACTGATACGCCTATCAGGTAATTGCCACCGGCTTGGTATTGACAATCACTCAAATGCTAAGCAAGCATGGTGTTGTTCGAAAGTTTGTTGAATTTTACGGTAAATTTTAATGTTTGTTGTGATGACTATATATGTGAAATGTTGGTATTTGTTGTGACATGGTTGCACAACTTGCACAAGAAATTCTAAGGATTTGGATGAATCAGTTGATGAATCTACTATATCAGAAAATGGTAACTTCTTGTGATAAACAATATATGTGAAATACAATACACTATTATGCAAACTGTTGGAAGCACGGGCCAATCCTACACACTTTTATATAATTATACAATATTGTATAAAGTTTATACAAAAATTGGACTTTGTTTCTTTTAAACTTCAACTCACGAAATTTCATATGAGATAGGTCTAAAACGTCACCAATTCGATCTCAAACTCAAGGACGAGCTTCACCCAAATAATTTCAGCAATATTTACTCATTGAATTTTCTTTGCTAATATAAATCTTCCTCAATTTGTACAGAAAACCTCAGAAATTGGAATAGGTTCAAATCTCAGCTAAACCATATGTCACGACCCAAAATTCATTAAAGGTCGTGATGGCGCCTAACACCGCTGTCAGACAAGCCAACAATAATTAATTAACTTAATTACTCATTTTTAATATTTTCAAATCGTAATTTCCTTCGATTAAATAGTAAAAGATAGAACTTAGGGAGTAAATGATAATATTTTGGCAACTAAAATACTGAACAACCCATAACCATTCCCAAAACCCGGTGTCACAGGTGCATGGGCATTTACTAGGGAGTAAAAATAAAATACAACATCTGTCCAAAATACAAATTAGACAGGAAAGATATAAATAACTCTGATGGAGACTCTGCTGGCTGCGGATCGTAATATAGAATACAAGCTCGCCTAAGTCCCCGCATTAACCACACCTCTGCGCCCACAAGGCCACTAGACATATATGTACCTGCACAAAAATGTGAAGCAAATGTAGTATGAGTACGTAAATCAACACGTACCCAGTAAGTATCCAGTCTAACCTCGAAGAATTAGTGACGAGGGGTCGACTCTGACACTAACTATGGGCTAACAATAAATATCGATAATATAATTAAGCATGGATTGTATAGAACGGTTGTAAAATCAATAACATGAAGTAAGTAAACAATTCTTTTGTTAATAGGAAATTTCAAAAATTATTTTCATCATTTAACAATTTGTATCTCAGGCCAGTGAAGCAATATCAATTGTTATAAATTCCAAAGCAACCAATTTAATCATGCGCAAATCATGTCGAGGTCGTACGGCCCGATCCAACATAAATATTTAAACTGTGCACTGCCGAGGGTCGAACGTCGCGAACCATAGATGCATCTATCTGCTATCGAGGCGTTCGGCTCGCTCCACAAAAGAAAATACACATTAAACAACCAATTCAAGATTTATTAAGGGGAAAATATTTCAAGAATTAAAAATTCCCATTTAACGGTCAAGTAAATGAAGTTTAACCTTTTTACAATTCCTTTATCGAATTTCTAAGTGTTTTAAATAATTAAATTAACAAGTAGGGGGCAAACATCGCAAGTACAACATGATATGGGTCCTAGACTACCCGGACATAAGCATAATAGTAGCTACGCACAGACTCTCGTCACCCCGTGCGTACGTAGCCCCCACAATTAGAAGCACATAATGATTTGATTCACCTATGGGGTTAATTCCCTCTTACAAAGTTAGAAAGAAGACTTACCTCGTTCCGAAATTCCATAACTGGTTCCAAAAACCTTTCCAACAGCTCCAACTAAAGCCCAACGCTCCAAAACTAGTCAATAAATATGCAAATTCATAAATATATACTCTAATACTCATTATAATCCAATTTATAACAATTTCCAACTCTGTTCGAAAAGTCGATAAAAATCACCCTCGGTCCACGTGCCCGAATTCCGAAAATTTTCGAAGATAACCATTACCCATAACCTCACAAACTCAAATATATAATTTATTCTCAATTTCATGTCCAAATTCTTGGTCAAAATCCTAAAATACCAATTTTTAGGTTTTCCACCAAAATCCCAAATTTCTACAAATTTTCATGTTAAAATCTATATATAATCCAAGTATTTAACTCAAAATACACGGGAATCACTTACCTCTTTAATGTTGATGGAACCCCTCTCAAGATACTCTCAAAAATCGCGTAAGTCCGAGTGGGAAATGAGCTAAGTCCCGAAATAAATGCCCTTGCTCCAGTCGCAGACGTCGCATTTGCGACATCTGGTTCGCAAATGCGATGGTCGCAATTGCAACAAAAGCATCGCAAATGCGAAGGAGAGCCACCCCTACCAAGGTCGCATTTGCGACCAAAATCTTCGCAAATGCGAACCCCTAAGAAATTTCTCACCCTCGCAAATGTGAACTCCTTCCTCGCAAATGCGCTCTATGCCCAGATCACGCTTCTTCGCAAATGCGAGGTTTGCAAATGCGAACAAATTCATATATTTGCGAGACCTGCAACAGTTGCCAAGAAACACCAAAAAAACTAAAGTTTTTCTCATCCTCCCGAACGTCCGAAACTCACCCGAGCCCTTGGGGCTCCACACCAAACACCAACACAAGTCTAACAACATCATACAAACTCGCTCGAGCGATCGAAACACTGAAATAACATCAAAACCCACGCATCGGACGCCAAAACGCATGGATTAACTCATGAACTCAAAAACTTCTAAAAATACTCCCGCGCATCCGATTCCTATCAAATCAACTCGGAATGATGTCAAATTTTGCGTGCAAGTCTTAAATGACATTACGAACCTACTCCAACTTCCGGAATCGGAATCCGAATCCAATATCAAAAAGTTCACCCTCGGTCAAACTTTTCAAAAAAAACGTCAAATTTTCAACTTTCGCCAAATGACCCTAAAATGACCTACGGACCTCCAAATCTACTTTCGGGCGCCCCCCTAAATCCAGAATCACCATACAGAGCTATTCCCAGGCTTGGAATCCCAAATGGACATCGATAACATTGAAATACACTTTAACCCAAATTTATGAAATCCTTCCAAAATGCCAACTTTCCACAATAGGCGCCGAAACGCTCCCGGATCATCCAAAACCCGATCCGGACATACGCCCAAGTCCAAAATCATCATACGAACCTGTTGGAACTTTAAAATCCCGATTCCGAGATCGTTTACTCAAAAATTACACCTTAGTAAATTCCTCCAACTTAAAGCTTCCGAAATGAGAATTTTCTTTCCAAATCAACTCCGAACTTCCCGAAATTCAATTCTAACCACGCGTACAAGTCGTAATACCTGAAGTGAAGCTGCTCAAGGCCTCAAACTTCCAAACGACGCGCTAGAGATCAAAACAACCGGTCGGGTCATTACATTCTCTCCCACTTAAACATACGTTCGTCCTCGAACGTGCTAAGAACTGCTCTAGAGTTGTACGAAATCACTGTTTAACACCCCGTGCACCTACCCGTGCTACCACAACCCAGTTGAGCACATTAGCTTGAGCCAGTCCGAAGATCCTCCCTTTTATTTAGTCAAATAAGCCTTAGTGCCAAATTCCAACATCCAGAATTCTCCACCAAGCCTGTTTCCAACATACGGACACCGTATCAATCACTACCCGATGCACCAATACATGATTGCATAGCTTTTCTGAATTCACACCATGCACCGTATAATTCTCATGACCATAATAACATCCTCCGATAACAATAGCCGAAGTTCCACGAATCTGATACCCACAACACTCCTCATGACATATATAAGTCTTGTTTCAACTCTTGCAATGCTTCCACGACGGAAGAGGTGTAAAGATTCATAACCAACTGTCGTGTCAACAAATCATTGAGTTTCTCCTCTTGACAAGAACCATTACCTCATTATGAACCAAATAACGATATTTGCTCTTTAATATGCTTCATATAAATTTGATCGCACTGATCCCATGTCTTATAATATCGTCTCACCCAGTATAAGCTGCTCAGGCAATAAGCCACCTCAGATACTGCCAAAAATCTCATATGCCACAATGTGCCCACAAGCTACAAACTCGAATGTGATACATAAGGAAAACGAACTCTGGAAAGAACTACTCAACCCACGTAACTAATTTAATCACCGAAAAGATGTTATGAACCTTCCTCAGAAATGAGACACAAAACACACAAGAATAGCTATGGGAAACTGTACTCAACATCAAGCAGTTGCGGCGTGCAACCCGATCCACGCATGATACCGTTGCGGCGTGCAACCCAATCCAACCATGATACCCGTGGCGGCGTGCCACCCGATCCACACATAATAATCTAAAGAAGACACGTATATATCCATAACGCTTATACTCACGAAATGCCCGAATATCAACCATAAGCACACCAAGTGCACAATACAAATCCTAGGGAGACGGGTAGCTTCATACGCTATAAAACTCAAGCACAACTAAGGTGCGATATATGATCTGCATCTCGAGAGCCATCCTGCTCACATAACACCACCACTATGCGGGACCTCAACACATTGTACAAATAATCAAGCCGTCTCACAACCCACATGGCACCATAGAGTATTACATGAAATAGCTGGCGACGAAATTAACATCCCACGCCCGAATACTCTTCCATAAGGAATGCTATGCTGAATGAACACACCCAGGCTGGTGTAGAGTACACATCCACATTTGGACCCATCAACGGACCTCAAACTGATCCTGATCATACCATGCTTGGGCAAATAACCTCTCAAGGATCCACAATGACCCTTTTCCCATGACACGCAAGAATAACCGTCGAATCCGGAACAAACTTCCACAATTTACAACCAACTGAATAGAGCACCTTTTCAGGCCTAAACCCTCATATTAGCGATAGTACAAAAATCTCCACATTTGGTTTCAATCTTTAATCAATCAAGTGACTACATGTCACACTTATACAATTTTTTCGCGGAATACGCTCCCCCGATCTTCCACACCGGGTAACAAGTGTGCACATCCATACCACCGGCCATACTAATGTTGTAGGGCAAATCAAAAATCCGCAAATGAGTACATAAAGCCTCTCACGTAGGACACCGATCCCAGGTGACGCTAAAGACGATATCAGCTTACTCTAAACATCTGAATCCTTCCCTGCTCATCCGAGCTCGTGACATCCCTGTCAACACCGAACTGCAACCTTGATCCT